GGGGTGCCTGGGTGGTGCCGCCTGTTAAACATCTGACTCTTGATTTCAGCTCATGGCACGATCTCAGGGTCCTGAGATGGAGCCCTCCGTGGGCTCTGTGCAGGGCATGGAGGCTGCTTAGGAGTCTCTCTCTCTCCCTCTGCCCTCCCCCCATCCCCTAAAGGAAGGAAGGAAGGAAGGAACGGAGGGAAGGAAGGAGGGAGGGACGGAGAGGAAGGAAGAAAGGCAAGCAGACACTATGCTGCCCTTAGACAGGCAAAGTGTCCAGTACCCAAAGTGCCTTTGAGTCCTCACTTTGTTTTAAAAGAGCTAAAGAGGGGCACCTAGGTGGCTCAGTCGGTTAAGTGTCTGCCTGCCTGTGGCTCGGGTCATGATCTCAGGGTCCTGGAATGAAGCCCTGCATCGGGCTCCCTGCTGAGTGGGGAGTCTGCTTCTCCCTCTGCCCCTCCCCCGCTAGTTCTCTCTCTCTGTCTCAAATAAATAAATACAATCTTTTAAAAACTTAAATTAAATTTAAAATTAAAAGAGCTGGGTGCCTGGGTGGCTCAATCATTAAGCTTGGCTGCTTTAAGCTCAGGTCATGATCCCAGGGTCCTGGGATCGAGCCCTACGGGGGGCTCTCTGCTCAGCGGGAGCCTGCTTCCTCTCCCTGCTGCTCCCCCAGTTTGTGCTCTATCAAATAAATAAAATCTTTTAAAAAAATAAAATAAAATAAAAGAACTACACAGGCCCCTTCCTCAGCAGAGGGAGATGGCATTCACACGGATTCTCTCTGCCCATCCTACCATAACATCCAGGCCCCTGGGGCCCAGTGTCTTGTCCCTGACCGGCCAAAAGGCAGACTCTCCTTTCCTGAGCACAGCTCCCACCCTTATGGCCCCACCCCATTCTCAATCCAGAATTCTAGAACCAGAAAGGCTCTCAGAGGCCATGAAACCCCATCTTTGTCAAGACAGGGTACATGTGGCCCACCGTGGGGCAGAGCTCAAACTTAGGATTCTCTCCACAACCCCACACCAAGGACAGTGCCTCCTGAGTGAGTGGCCAGAGTCATTCAGGTTGAACCTGCTGGACCTCAATTCTTTCAGTCCTGAAGCCACCGGCACTCTGACACCCCTCCCCCCCCAGCCACTGCCCACTGCCCAAGAGGAACCTTCAGGAGAGCTAAGCACTCCCACAGTGGTTACTGGTCCCTGCTCTCCAGAGTCAGAAACATACCTAGCCTCATACTGTTTGGTTTCAAAAGCATGGCCTTGGGAGGCAGACCGAGACCCTCTGTCACAGCCACACCATGAACATCATCGCCATGCAGGTGGGGACCTTGCCTGTCCTGTCCCGGGTATTCACCTTGCCCTGAACGGTGCCTGACATGACATAATAAAGAACATGCTTTTTCAAACAAATGAAGCCAAGAGACCCTGAACAACTTACTTTCAACCTGTTTTCTCACCTAGAAATGGTAATAACTGCCCACCTCCCAGGTTGTAGTGAGGACAAAGGAAAACATTCGTGAAAATGCCCAGCCAGGGTCTGACACATGGCAGCCTTCATGTTACTTCTTCAAATTAGCCAGCACCTGGGGCACCTAGGTGGCTCAGTTGGTTGAGCACCTGACTCTTGATTTGGCTTGGGTCATGATCTTGGGGTTGTGGGTTCAAGTGCCGCCTCCGGCTCCCTCCTCGGGGCAGTGCCTGCTTGGATTCTCCCTCTCCTCTCCCTCTTCCCTTCCACGCTCCCGCTCTCTCTCTCTCTCTCTAATAAATAAATCAAATTACCCAGCACCCTTCCCTCCTTCTACACTCTGCTCACCACCTGCAGGCAGTCTCCCCTAGTTATCTACTGGGCTCCAGTCCTGGCGTCTGTCCCAGAAACACTTCCTCCCCACATACTTGTCTGGAGTCCAGGTGATATTTCTGGAAAATATGGATTCTTATTTGTTTGCCTTTTCTTATGCCTGAGTCTTCTGTTGGACAAGGGTAAGAGCCCACCTTCCATGGCTACTCCCCCTCAATCATCACCATCACGGCCATGGGTATCTGAGGTATAGCCAAGAGTGGATTTCCAAACACGGAGCAGCTAATGTCCAAGTCCTCAGCACCACAGCCGCAGAAACCTGCTCCCATCTAGACCATTCTCCACAGTTCACAAAGCACTTGCATCTCAGTTATCTCATTTGACCCCTGAAACACCCCCTGTAAAGCCAGGATTTATTTTACAGATCAGGAAACTGAGGCTTAGAGGGGCTCCCGATCTGCCGGCGTCACAGGATCTGGGAGGGGCGGTATAGTTGTCCTGTCAGCCTCTGAGCCCATTCCCTCCAGACTAGGTCCATAGAGCGCAGGGGAAGGTGACAGTAAGAGCGAGCCCTTCATTTCCGTGATGACTTCACATTCCTCTAACTTCCACATTCGCTCTTGTGAGAATCTTGCGGAGACAGAAATCTTGGGAGTCACGAACCCACCAAGGCAATGCCCAGCCAGAGGGTCTCATTCCCTGAGACGCATGGAATCAGTGTACCCAAAGAGAGGCCGCTGCCCAACCTCACGGGACTTGCTGGTGACTGAGCCAGGATGTGAACCCTTATTTGCCTGACTCTCCGACTCCTCCCACTCTGTCAGCTGCCCTCACTTCTCTCTGGGCCTTCTGCAATCTGCAGAATGGGTTGGATGAGAAGATCTTTCAACCTTTCCTACCGATCTGGGTCCCACCTGCATGTCCTCTTCATGAAAACGGGACCAGTTTTGGAGGAAGATGGTTTGAGTTCGAATCCCTGTTTGGGCAAAAGAAGCACTCACTGTCCCTGAACCTCAATTTTTTCATCTGCAAATGGGCTTGAGTGAGCTAATGGATACAGGGCTCCCACTCCCAGCACATTCAGAATAATCAGTAACTGTCAGATTTCCTCCCGTTTCTTTTTTAAGTCTGTGTAGGGCGGTCCTGGAAGACAAGGGCTCAAAATTCTACTCCAAACTCAGCTTTCCCAACTTACTGTAGAGAAGTCGGATTAGGGGAGCCACGACCTGCATCTGAGAGACTGGAATGGAGGAGCTTCGCAGTAAAGGCGCCTGACCTCTCAGGAACTTTCTGTGTATTCCTCCTTCCCATCTTCCCCAGTCTCCATTTTGAACATTTTCTCCAGAAAGAGTTAAGCCTTCTTTGGGTTTCCCCTTCCTGACCAGCATTGCCAATGGAGATTAGAGAGATCGGATTTATTTCTCTTAATAAACAGAAAAGAAGTTGGGCCAGGCAGGTGAAAAGGAAACAATTGGAATAATAGGAGGCTGGAGCAAAAGGGAGCAGGACTTCCTCTAGTCAGACCTGGGGCCACCCCCAGACCGGAAGAAACAACAGCCAGGGGCAGGGAGGTGGTTCCTAGGCACGTGGGCTCAAATCGGGCCACCTGCTGCCCAGAAAGCCCAGTGCTACCAGATACCTAACACGATGCAGAGGGAGGCCTACCCACGGGCCCAATGACCCCAGCCCAGGCTGCTGGAGCAGGGACATGCCGGGTCAGCTTTTCCAGCCCCTACCTCCAGGCTGGTCTCCAAGGGGGAAAGGGTCCACTGCCCTGGGGTACACCACCGGCCTTCTGTCTCCAACCCTGCCCGTCTAACCAGAATCCATCCTGCTGCAATTCTGACCCATGCCCTCTTGAGATGGGGAGGACTTCTGACTGAATCCCGGTGGGACAGCCTTAGGAGAGACTCTGCATGGAGCTGGGAGTGCAGAGCCCTGAGAAACACCCTTTATCCAAACTCTCCCTCAGGGCTTGGCCCAGTCATCCCTGCCCCAGCACCCTGACTTTTTGCGTGCCTGGGCCAAAGGCCCTCATCCAAAAGGAAGGCCCGGCCGGATGCAATCACACAAGAGGCTTTTCACTCTCTTCCTGACCCCTCAACCGTTCCTTCTAATTCTCCTGCAGAGGAGGTGGTTAAAGGACACTGGGAGGGTAAACATGGAATGGGATGGGCCCGCACACACCGCCATTTCCTCACCTCGGCACTGCAGCCCAAGCCAGAGGAAAGGTAGACTTGAGCGGGACAAGCCCCAAGGGAGCTCCACCCTCTTGCAGACTCACGCCCTACCCCCCAAACGGGAGTTAGAAACAGAGGGGGAAATGAGGAAAGAACCAAGCAAGTGCCCAAAAGGAAAGTGACCCCAGCAGGGATGCACCAAATCAGCCACCCCTTCCCTACCCCTCAGGCTGCCCACCCATCAGGCCAGAGAGAGTCCAGAGGCAAGGAACTGACTGTTGTATTTTAAGTACCCATCCCACCACAGCTCAGGTACAGGCTCTCCATTAATTTGAGCCTCAGTTTCCCCCATCTGTAAGCATGCTTCCATCACTGGCCTGTTTCTACCAGGGCTGGGGAACGAGTGATTGGGGAGGGGCGGGGTGCATGGTGGTTCTCATCGGTGAGCTCACCACCCCAGGAGGTGGATGTTTGAGTCTGGCCCCCCGGAGTGGTGAGGGGGGCCAGGTGGGAAAAGCTAACAGCAACACCTTAAGAGCCTAAAGCAAGCTGTGCCCCACGTTGGGTCCTTTGTGGGTCTGAAACACTTTGAGAGCGCAGTTGACCTTCTGGACCTAGAGGAATCCCCACCAGAGACGCAAGGCCACTTGCCTCTCCCATGGGCCCCAGGCCAGAGCCAAGTCTCTGACCCCCTGACTCAGCAGAGGGCAGAACCTGGGTGAGCCTGGGGGAGGGGGGATTGCCTCACCGTCCCAAGAGCCAGACTGCCAGCACTTCCTGCTCAAGCCCGGAGATTCCTGTCCCAGCTAGGGGTCCCTTCCCCCTAGAATGGGGTCTGGCTGAGTCTGGGAAAGGCGGGGAGGCGGCACAGAATGGGAGTGCTCGAACTGAGCCCCCGGCTCTCCGCTCCTCCGGCCCCGGCGCCGAAGGGTTCACCCCTCCAACACGCCCCGGACCCCCGGCAGAGCCACCCCGGCCGCACACTCGGCGCCGCCGGCGCGCAGCACAGGTGCCCCGCCGCCTTACCTCGGCCTTTACCCTTGGCCCTCCTGGCCTTGTCGTCCGCCTTCTTGGCCCGGGGGGCGGCCGATTCGGCGCCCTCCGCCCCCGCCGCCTTCTTCTTGCGCCGCTTGCCCCGCAGCCAGCTGAAGGCGCGGCGGAGGCCGGACGCGCCAGAGCGGGACTTCTTCCTGCGCGGGGGACCGCCCGGGCCCCCCGGCTCTTCGGCCGCAGGTGCGGCGGGGGGCGCGCGGGCCGCCATGGCGCGGCGGGCGGACCTCGGCGGGGGTCAGGCCCCCTGCGGCCGGGCATCCATGCGCGGCTCGGGCGCGCGGGCAGGCGGCCGCCGCGGGGAAACGCGCCGCCGAAAAGTTTGGGCGGCGGAAGCGCAGCCCGCGGGGAGCGGCCGGGCGGCGGGAGCGGCGCGGGAGGGGCGGGTCGGGCGGCGGGCGGGGCGCGGAGGCCGGCCTGCAGCCGGGGAGGGAGCGGCCGCGGGGCGGGGGCGGCGCCGCCTGCCGCCCTCCCCGCCGCCTCCTGCCCGCCGTCCGGCTCCGGGAGCTCCGGGAGCTCCGGGGGGCCAGGGGAGGGCGAGGTCGGGCGGGTGGCGAGGCGGCCGGGGGACCTAGTGGGCGGGGTCGCAGGGCGGGGCGGGAGGAGCGGGCCTGAGATTCGGGGCCGGCGGGGGCGCGAAAGGGGAGTTGGCCTCTCGGGAGAAGGTACGGGGAGGCGTGGGGAGGAATGCTGGGCTCGGACCCCAGGACAGCCAGGTATCCTGAGTTCAGCCTGGGAATACCTGGGGTTCTTCTCTTGGAATATGGGAGTTCTGAGAATTCTTTCCAGGACTCAGACGGCATTGGAGTTTGCTCTGGAGACTGAGGCTGCAGACGCACCTGAGACCTGTGACCCACAGTGGGCCTTCCTATCCAGTCTGGTGACTGGGCAGACCTCTCCTAATCTCCAATTCATCGCAGCTTCCCCAGTGTCAACCCTCAATGTGGAGTTGGGCTCCATGCTTCCTGCGCTCTCTCCCTACCCCTTAGTGAGGGGAAATGAGGAGAGTCGTGCCTCAGTTTGCCCTTGGACTTTGCTGTCAGGCCCCAGGGCACCCCTGCTTGGGCCTGGATTCCCCACTGAGATGCTCAACGCAGATTAGGGCTGATCTTGGGCATGATAAACTCATAGCTTCTAAGGGGCTTTGAGATCCTCTTTGGGTAAGAAGTGTGACTAAGTATGGTCGTAGGGAAGAAAGCCTTTAGGAATCATGAAAATGCTGTGCTCATTTCTTCCAGGCCTCTGGCTCTTTATCATAGCTGACCAAGCACTTTTAAAACATCAGATCCCACACCAAGCCATGAGGGAATCAGCGCAGGGAGTGTTACCTCCATAACACAGAAGGGAGACTGAAGCCAGGAGAGGTCACTGATTGCCAAGAACACAGAGGTGGTCAGCAGCAGAAGAGCCAAGACCAGCAATCTAGATCTTGTCTCAGCCTGGTCCATAGGACTAGAAATTGCCTTAGGGCACAGCCGTGGGCTCAGGGGTCCCAAGAAGGGCACTGTGCTACCCCACCAGTTAGAGTTTGCCTTCGTCCATCCAACCTGACTCTGGACACATCACTTTCTCCTGGCTCCTGGTCTAAACAAGGGCAGAGACACATTTGTCTGGGGTACCCGGGCCAGGCGGCCCTGACATAGTGTAGACAGCACTCACTGTATCACTGAAAATAAGTGCACTGCAGAGTTTAGCTTCCCTGACCTGCCTTAGCCCGCTATGTGTCCTCAGGGGCTCAGCTTTGACAAACCCCGGGGGGATTTGCAGCAGATCATTATCCTTGCTGGGCCTCAGTTTCCCCATCTAATCATCATTCATTCAGGTCTAGCCCACATCCCAAAGTACCTCTTCTGGACCAGGCATTGGGCCAGGCACAGGGACCACAGTGGGCCCTGTCCTTGTGTTCTCTCTGCCCAGCCCAGCACTGGCCTTAAGGACCCTTCCTCTCCCTCACTTGGCAAGTATCAAAGGAGAAGTGTTACAGGCAAGGCTGAAACACAGAGAAAGAGCGCCATGCAGGAACTTGGCCTGTTGGATAGTCCGGAAGCACTAGGTGGGGAGGAGAGAGGAAGGCAAACATACTCTGGCTTTTGGAAGGGGTGATCAGGAGAGGGATATAAGTCAGTCTTGTCCCCCCACCAACCCTTTCAGCATCTCCTTCCCACAATTTGCAGGGCCTGGTCCAAAATGAAAACGCAGGACCTTTTGTTCAAAAATTACTAAAATTTTTGGGCACCTGGGTGGCTCAGTCAGTTAAACATCTGCTTTCAGCTCAGGTCATGATCTGAGGGGTCCTAGAATCAGGCCTCTTAGGGCTCCCTGCTCAGTGGGGCATCTGTTTCTCCCTCTCCCTCTGTCCCTCCCTCCCCCACTCTAGCTCTCTTTCTCTCTCTTTCTCTCTCTCTCAAATAAATAAGATTACTAAAATTTTCTTTTTTTTTTTTTAAGATTTTATTTATTTATCTGACAGAGAGACACTGCAAGAGAAGGAACACAAATAGGGGGAGTGGGGGAGAGAGAAGCAGGCCTCCTGCCAAGCAGGAAGCCCGATGCAATGCAGTGCTCCGTCCCAGGACCCTGGGATCATGACCTGAGCTGGAGGCAGATGCTTAACGACTGAGCCACCCAGGGGCTCCAAGGTTATTAAAATTTTCAAGAAGGCAGGGCATCTAGCGGGCTCAATAGGTGAAGCATGAGACTCAATCTCAGGGTCATGAGTTTGAGGCCCATGTTGGGCCTAGAGCTTACTTTAAAAAAATTTCAAGAAGGCAACAGCAGAGCATTCAACCAAGTGTGGGACCTTTCTGAAATCAGGACCAGGGGTGATTGGGCCTATGAAGTTGGCCCAGCCAGTGGTTCATATAATTCCTTAGCAAAAATTCCTCTCAAACCACAATCCCCCACCCAGGAATTCCTGGATGGCTCATTGGTAGAGCATGCAGCTCTTGATCTCAGGGTCCTAACTTCCTTTTTTTTTTTTTTTAGATTTTTATTTATTTATTTGACAGAGATTACAAGTAGGCAGAGAGGCAGTAGAGAGAGAGGATGGGGAAGCAGGCTCATTGCTGAGCAGAGAGCCCAATGAGGGGCTCAATCCCATCAGGGTCCTAACTTCAAGCCCACACTGGGCATTTAGTTTACTTAATTAAAAAAAAAAAAATTGAGGGGCACCTGACTGGCTTGGTCAGTAGAGGATGCAACTCTTGTTCTCAGGGTTGTGTGTTGGAGCCCCACATTAGATATAGAGATTACTTTAAAATACTATCTTTTTTAAAAAATTGAAAAGAAAATCCCCACAACCCCCAGGAGTCAGCTCAGAGATTGGGTCTCCTGATTTGGAAGTGGGGAAGGAGGGGAGTGGGGAGAGGTCAGGGTTATTTTCCCTTCTTCTAACTCCCAACAGCCAGACATTCTCACCTCCCAACTCCAACCCAGGCCACTCTGAGACCAGGAGCCCCAGCTTTCCCTCTTGTCCACTGGCCTAATGGACACATGTACTTCAGAGACACCCAGAGAGGGCTAGCCTGGGAAGGCCTAGCCTGAAACCCTGCCCTCTAGATTCATGACTACTCATCTCAGCTACCTTTTTTTGCTGGCCCTGTGGGCAGCTAAGGAAACAGAGTTTTCAGCAGCCCATGTCAGCAGGGCCCAAAGTCCATCCTGGAACGAGGCTGTCACCTGACCAGGCAGGAAGCTGCAGCTGTAAGGAGAGACCAGCAACAACCAGGCTTGGGGCAGCAGCCCCCAGACCCTCCAGCTTTGCCCCCTCTGTTTCTGGAAACCCCAGGGCCACCTTGATGTTGCCCCTATACCCACCCAAGACTCCCCTCCCCCCACCTCCCACTCCCAGGGAGACCTGCCTCCCACGAGCTCCAGCTTTGTCCTCTACTGGGCCTGGTCTTCTCACAAACTCCAAACTGGGCAGCCAGGCCAAGGTGTGGCTGAGCCTCCCTCATTTTACAGGGAACACCAGGAAGAAAAAGAGCCTGTAAATCACACAGCCAAGGGTAGGAGCACCCATGACTCCCCTCAGTTCTTAGATTAATTGGAGAGGCAGAAACTATAGTGCGAAGAGGGAGCAGTTCTGCAAAGCTGAGATATGGAGTGATTAACAGTGTTCTATTCTGGGGTGCCTGGTGGCTCAGTCGGTTGAGTGTCTGGCTTTGGTTCAGGTCATGATCTCAGGGTCCTGGGATCAAGTCCTGCATCAGGGTCCTTCTTTCTCTCTCTTTCTCTCCCAAATAAATAAATAATTTTTTTTTAAATCCTGTAAAAAAAATTTTTTTTAAATAGTATCCCTATTCCATGGATAAGACAGCCTAAGAAGAGGAAGAGTGACTTTGCTAGCAGTCACACAGTTAAAGTCCATCTCTGGGCAGAGGTGGACTTTAAAACTGGCTTGTGTTCACGTGTGTGTTTGTGGGTGTATGTGTTTCCTAACTGAGCACTTGCTTTATGTCAAGCCTCCCTACGGGAGGCAAGCTGCATTCAAGGATAGAAGTGAAGACCCTGGAAAAAGAAAATACTTTTCCAAATGTTCTGCTTAACTTTGAATGCACTTGTATGCATTTTTCTGGGGAAAGTTCCATAGCTTTAGCCAGATTCCCAAAGGGGTTCCTATTTCAGAATGAACTAAGAATCTGCTTTGATCCTTTTCAGTGGGAGGATAAGATAGAAGGAGGGCCCTGGCATGATGCCTTCCTCCCCTCTCCTCCCTAATGTAGGGGTAGGGGTGGGGAGAGGTGTGCAGGTCTCTTCCACACTGTGGTGATTCCTTGGTCCCCTGTTCTGGCTGCTGGCATCTGAGGCAGCAGGGTTTTGTGGGGGTTTTGGGGTTTTTTTTTTAAGATTTTATTATTTATTTATTTGTTTGACAGAGAGAGAGAGATCACAAATAGGCAGAGAGGCTGGCAGAGAGAGAAGGGGAAGCAGGCTCCCTGCTGAGCAGAGAGCCCAATGCTGGATCCTAGGACCCTGAGATCCTGACCCGAGTGGAAGGCAGAGGCTTAACCCACTGAGCCACCAAGGCGCCCCATGAAGTAGCAGTTTAATATGTCAAACAACATCTGCTGAGGGCTTATGATTTTCCCAGCACCTCCAAGAATCGGGTGCTGAGCCTACTTGCACCCATTTTCCCTGCTGGGTTGAGAGGTGAAAAAGCACCCAACGGGCTTGTGGTGGGTGCCGGGAATGAGTCGGACCCTGGTGGGCTCCCAGCTCCAAGCTGGTGCCAGTTCCTGGGAG